GCACATAGGGTAATAATGTCAGATTCATTCTACTATCATTCCTACCCCCATACTTCCTCCCCTCCCTTTACTCCCCTCTGTCTAGTCCACATTACTTTTGTTCTTCCCGAAGTTATTGTGAATTGGCATCCACCTACCAGAGAAAATATTCAGTGTTCAATTCTTTGAGATTGGCTTATTTTGTTTAACATAATAGTCTCCAGTTCTGTCCATTTACCAGCATATGCAATAATTTCATTCTTCTTTAAGGTGGTGTAATATTCCATTGTATATATATACCATAGTTTCTTTATCCATTCATCTGATGAAGAGCACCTAGGTTGGTTCCATTATTGTGAATTAAGCTGTTATAAACATTGATGTGCCTGTGTCACTGTAGTATGCTGATTTTAAGTCCTTTGTGTATAAACCTAGGAGTGCAATGACTGGGTCAAATAGTTGTTCCATTCCAAGTTTCCTTAGGAATCTTCATATTGGTTTCCATAGTGATTGCACCAACTTGCAGTTCTATCAGCAATGTATGAATATACCTTTTCTCCCATATCCTTGCCAATATTTATTGTTGCTTGTATTCTTAATAATTGCCATTCTGGAGGGAGATGGAATCTCAGTGCTATTTTGATTTGCCTTTCTATAATTGCTAAAGATGTTGAACATTTTTTTCATGTATCTGTCAAGAAATTTATTTCTTCTTCTGTGAAGTGTCTATTCAGTTCCTTTGCCCATTTATTGAGTGGGTTATTTGCTTTTTAATTTTTATTTTTTGGAGTTAAGTTTTTTTAGTTCTTTTTTTTTTAAAGAGAGAGAGAGAGAATTTGAAGAGAGAAAATTTTTAGTTAATATTTCTTTTTTCTTGGTGGACACAACATCTTTGTTGGTATGTGGTGCTGAGGATCGAACCCAGGCCGCACACATGCCAGGCGAGCACGCTACCGCTTGAGCCACATCCCCAGCCCTTTTTTAGTTCTTTGTATATCCTGGACATTAATGCTCTACCTGGGGATCAGGTGTAAAAGATCTCCCATTCTGTAGGCTCTCTCTTCATGTTACTTATTATTTCCTTTGCTGTGAAGAAGCTGTTTAGTTTGATTCTATCACATTTATTGATTCTTGATTTTACTTCTGTGCTATAGGAATCTTGTTAAGGAAGTCACTTTCTAAACTGACTTGGTGGAGATTTGGGTGTACTTTTTCTTCTTGTAGGCTCAGGTCTCTGTTCTAATGCCTACATCTTTGATCTACTTTGAGTTGATTTTTTTTCATGGTGAGAGATAGGGGTTTATTTTCATTTTGCTACATATGGATTTCCAGTTTTCCCAACACCATTTGTTGAAGAGGCTATTTTCTCAAATTTATGTTTTTGGTGCCTTTGTCTGGAATGAGATAACTGTTTTCATTTTGGGTTTGTCTCTGTCTTCTATTCTGTAACATTGGTCTTAGTATCTGTTTTGGTGCCAATACCATTGCCATTTTTTGTTACTATGGCTATATAGTATAATTTAAGGTCTGGTCTTGTGATTTCCTCCTGCTTCACTTTTCTTGTGAAGGATTGCTTTGGCTATTTTGGGTCTCTTCTTTTTCCAAATGAATTTAATGATTGCTTTTTTCTCATTCTATGAAGAATGTCATTGGGTTTTTAATAGGAATTGCATCAAATCTATATAACACTTTTGGTAGAATGGCCATTTTGATAATGTTAATTCTGCCTGTCCAAGAACATGGGAAATCTTTCCATCTTATAAGGTCTTCTTCAGTTTTTTTCTTTAGTGTCCTATAGTTTTCATTGTACAGATCTTTCACCTCTTTGTTATATTGATTCCCAAATATTTTGGGGTTTTTTTTGAGGCTCTTGTGAATGGGGTAGTTTTTAAAATATTTTTTCTTTTAGGGGATTCATCACTGTTGTATAGAAACACATTCGATTTATGGGTGTTGATTTTATATCATACTACTTTTGCTGAATTCATTTATTATTTCTAGAAAATTTCTGGTGAAATTTTTTCTTCTAAATATAGAATCATGTCATCACAAATAGTGATACTTTGAGTTCTTTTTTTTCTATTTTTATCCCTTTAATTTCTTTCTTCTAATTGCTCTCACTAGATTTTCAAGGATGATGTTGTGTAAAAGTGGTGAAAGAGGGGCTTGGCTTGTGGTTCAGTGATACATTGCTTGCCTGGCATGTGTGAGGCACTGGGTTTGATCCTCAGCACCACATAAAAATAAAAAAAAATTAAAGTAAAGATATTGTGTCCATCTTTAAAAAAAGTGGTGAAAGAAGTCATCCTTGTGTTATTCTAGTTTTTAGAAGGAATTCTTTCAATTTGTCTTTATTTAGAATGATATTGGTCTTGAGTTTAACATAGATAGGTTTTACAATGTTGAGGTATATTCTTACTATCCCTAGTTTTTCTAGTGATTTGAACATGAAGTAGGGCTGTATTTTGTCAAATTCTTTCTCTGAATCTGTTGAGATGATCATATGATTCTTTTCTTTAAGTCTATTGATGTGATGAATTACATTTATTTATTTCCATATGTAGAACTAACCTTGCATTCCTGGGATGAATCCCACTTGATTGTTGTGCACTATCTTTTTTTTATATGTTTTTGTATGTGATTTTCCAGAATTCTGTTAAGAATTTTTGCATCCATACTCAATGATTTTCACTTACTAAATGGTTTGCAAATGGTTGAGAATCTTCACAGTGTTAGTCTAAACCAACATGCCTTGCATACAGGTATACAGATTCTCATCAGAGGAGCTATCAGGCTACTTCTTTTAATAGTATGCACATAGCCTTCATGAGATGTTAACAAAGACCTCTCATTCATGATTTAAAGTAGAATCCTAAGGTTTGTAAACTGTGAAAGCACTAGTATCATAAAATCACTAAAAAAGATTTGTTATATCCATATTCTTTTGCACACACTGAAAACTAGTTGAATTCTTTGGTTGTGAACATTGTTAGTAACTCTTTATAGAATCTTTTGGTAGCTTCCTGATTGTCTTATAGATTTCCTATATTTTTGAAAAAAATCTGTAAATTGAGAGTCTGTGAGCCTTGAATGAGGTGAAGATATTATTCAGATCTGTATCCTTTAATCCTTAGCATAGTGATTATAGCATCCTCTGATTATAACTCCCTGCATTCACAATAGAAGTAAATATGTAGGGTAGCTCAGCATCCTTTCTTACAAGAGCAAATGTGAACTATGCCTTGACACTTTATGACTCAAGTCTTTGGCAAAATCGCAAAATCTATATTTCTCTAAGCCTTCATTCATATATATATTTAATAGCTACCTATGGGTGTGTGTGTGTGTGTGTGAGAGAGAGAGAGAGAGAGAGAGAGAGAGAGAGAGAGAGAGAGAGAGAGAGCATACTGCATGGCACTCAAGGCTAGATGTCATAACTAGTACTACTATGAGTATTATTGCATTATTTAATTTTTTGAGATATTACATTTTTCAAGTTATGATTTCAAGACTGGTAAAAATGCTTAAATACTCAGCATTTTAGATACCATTTTATATATTTCATAGAATCATTGAATTCTGTGATAGATCTCCATTCAGTATTCCTTCTTTGATGATAGGTACTACTTTACATAGAACACTGGCCTAGACTATTGGAAACTAGCTACCAGTTGATGCACAAATATATTATTACCAAATGAAAATTAGCCAATTAATTAGAATTGGAATTAGTATGTGAGAAGCTGTGTTTTCAAGACTAGCTGATAACCATTTGCAAATCATTTAGTATGTGTGTTAAATCATATATTCCAGGGCTACTTCTCAGGAATACGCTGTCATCATCTCTTGGAGAGTTTATGGGTCTTTCTGAGTACATTTAAGTTTGAAATCAAAGTTTTTTAGAATAATTTTAATATATCAGAGAAAGTTTATGTTTTTAATTGTTCCTGTATAGTCAAAGAATCCTCAAATATGATGGTTAGTATTGTATATTAAGTCAAAATGTAGAATGGGGAAGAAAAGCTAATTATGTTCTTGGGTGTTTGTGAAAATAGGCAAAAGTTTTCTGTGATAAATTAGACCTTGTTAAACAGCTTTGCCGTTTTTCTTACTAATTATAGTACTTTAGGCAAAAATTTAAAAACTCCTCTAATCCATTGTATCAGTTTCTGTAAAATGAGGATGATAATATGCATATTATCATTTTATCATATTCCTTTTCTGAGAATTGAATGAGTTTGTATGCGTAACACATAGTAAGACTTGAGGGAATGTTAATTGTTTAGAGGTCATCATCATTCTCCTCATTTTAGTGTTTGTTAGTATGGTCAGAATAATGTTCTATATGTTTGTCTGCCTGTATAATTGTCACCTATCTTTTATGACCAAAATGATGTTCTTTCTTTCAAAAGTTTTCTTACTGTTGTTTTATTTTTAAATAATGGTAATTATTATCTTCACTTGAACAGCACTCAGTAAAGATGTTAATATCTACCTTTTTGGTTACCTGGTAAAAATGTCTTTGCTTCCATTCTGCTTATAAAGTTGTTGCATTTTAACCTAAGAACTTTTCTGACCTGTTTTGTTTCTGTCTCACACTGCATCTGCCCAAGACATTTTATTTACCGCAGTAGTTTCCTGTGTAGGTGCTCCTGCCAAAATGAAACTCAATTTATAAGTTAAATTTTTTTTAAAAAGAAAAATCATATTGCATATTTTAAAGCCAAATATTATTTTTTAAATGTTTCTTGTTTTTTAAGTAAATATTTGTACATTTTCTTTTTCTCATCCTCGACTTATCAAGAGCTGACTGCATAAGTAGAGTTATGAGAGTTCAGCCCATTTATTTAAAACTGCATCTTTTCACCTTTTAAACATTGAACTCTGAAACCTAACACAAACACTGTAAGAACATCTGAGGTAGATAATTAAAGTATAATTAAGTTTAAATGCCTTGGTGAAGGAGTATAAAAATTATTTAAATTCAATCGGCTAGTACATTTGCAGTTTTCTTTTATTAGGTGTGAAATCTAAGAATCCCCTGCCAACTCTTGAGGGCTCAATCCAGAATGTTGAATTGAAGTACTGCAGCACATCATTGGTCAAATGTGCCTCTGGGACCATGGGATCAATAAAAATTTGTGCCAAAGCCCCAGGTATGTGCAGCTGGACCGTGTAAAACTTTATTGCCTGTATAGGAGAATTGGCCTTGCATTTTACAAGGAGCGTTATTGAAACAAGAATTTACTCATTGTTCCTATGAATCAAAGGTTTTAATTTTTTAAAATAATCTTTACTGAAAAATTTTACTAGTGCCAGGATGACACTTCTTGACTTTTACCAAATTAATTTTTATTTAAGGAGAAAATACTTCTGTAGTTTAAGAATGTTTATGAGGGAGAAAACTTGAAGGAATATTTGCTTAAACTTTGTTTGGGAATTAGGACTTATATGTGACAAACATTAAATTAAAATGTTGCTCTGGTAGGATTAAACACAAAACTAGTTGTCTTTAAATTTAGACTAATAATTGACTTTGGCTTTCACCCAATGTTTCGTTTCATAATTTACTTTTTAAATTATGCATAATTATTTTAGCACAAACTAAATTTCAAGATAAGTTTGTTATGGTAAAGATTTTATTAATTTTGTAAAAGATGATGCGTTCATGTTGTTTTCTTTTACAAAATGTTCTGAACTTATTCTGTATTCATTACAAAGAGTTAAAAATGCTTTTATCAGACCAATTCCTTATAACTAATTATAGCTAAAGTTACCAAATATAATTGATATTTTGGTATAAAACATTATCAAGTTACTGCTATATTTTACTCAATACGATTTGTTGTTGGCTCTTGTTTTTTCAAGATTTATTATTTTTCAATAAATATTTCAATAAATATTTCTATTCAGGTGACAGTGGAAAAGAGAAGTTGATTCCCTTACTTCAGGGTCCTTCTGACACTAAAGACCTTCATAGCACCAAGTGGCTCAATGAGAGTAGAAAGCCAGAATCTCTCTTAGCTCCAGATTTGATAGCCTTCACAGTCCAAGTTCCACAATATATGGACTACTGCCATAATTCTGGTAAGTACAAATCTGTCATTACTCCCTCATTTTGCATTTCCTTTTCCAGAAAGGCTTTTAAAAAATGTGCTTTTTAAAAGAAGTAATTTGTGTTCATTGGGATGGTCTCTGCGATTGTGCTTTTCCAAAATTTAGATGAAGTATTTTTGTATTATTATTTTTTTTAGAGGGGGGGAGGGGGGAGAGAGAGAAATTTTTAATATTTATTTTTCAGTTTTCGGTGGGCACAACATCTTTATTTTATTTTTATGTGGTGCTGAGGATTGAACCCAGCGCCCCGCGCATGCCAGGTGAGCACGTTACTGCTTGAGCCACATCCCCAGCTCATTTTTGTATTATTTTTGATAATTGAAATGTGTTTATAACAATGAGAAAATTTAGCTTTATGTATATCTCTTAACCTCAGGTTCATATTTATAGAAAAACACAGTCTATCAGATGTTATGATATCATTTCTTAGAGTTAGATTTTTTTCCTAGTGGTACTTTATCTAGAATAAATTTCATTTTATTCAACTCTTATTAGCATAGCCATCCCTCTTGTGTTGATAAGTGATATCAGAAAGATCAATAAAGACTAGGAAAGAAAGAAGGTATGATAGGTAGAGACCTACATCAACCTTGAGCTCAGTTCGCCAGTATGTGGTTAGTAAAGCAAAGTTAGTCAGTCATTGATGCTAGAAATAGGAAATATTGCTATAGAGGTTTCTTATTAGGGTAAAGGGTGTGAGTTTTTCTTTAGAATTAGTTGGCCAGTGAATGGTTTCAAATAGTTGCTTAAGGGTATAATTCCATTAACATATTCAACAAGTACTGCTACTTATACAGAGCATGTTAAACATTACTAAGTTCAAAGTAGAAAGTATAAAACGATTTGTAACTAAGTAGACAATGAATCTTGAAGGCAGATACTAAAGCATTGCAGTAATGCACATATTCAGGAATATAAAAAATATTGAGAAGGTAAATTTTGTTGCGGTATCACTTGTAGCTGAATGGCATCCACATTAGGAAGTGGAAAGCAGTATTTGGAAAGCCAGTCTGAGAATGTCCTATTGAGAATGATATGGAATTTTAAGGAAACAATGTTGTTAGGATGAGGCCAAAACACATACCACTACTGTGCTATGGATAGAAGATTTTACCTATCTTCATGACATAGATTGGTAAATATTTTATGAAAAGGCCATATAGCTAATATTTGGGCTTTTTTTTATACTTTATAGTCTCTTATCTCAACTGTTAAGTTCTGTTGAAGTGGCACAAAAATAACTATTGACAGAAATGAATGGATATGATTATGTTCCAAGGTAATGCTATTTACAAAAAACAGAAAATGAATTGCATTTGGCTAATGTGGCTTGCCTCCCCTCATTCTGGGGAGAAGAGATTGGTGCTTAAATATACTGCTTTTGATAATGTATATTTAATCATGTTTCTTAAATATGCAGTTTGCTAAATTTCTTTATATAATTATCCACATAGTAGTTTTTAGTAGGTTTTGGGTTTAGGTTACCAAATTATTAAGAGATGCATCAAAATGACCAGACCATAAATTTGTAAGTTTTATATCTGAGAATGTACGAATCTTATTTGAATTTGCCATACTCTTGAGTTGGGCTAGGGTTTGTATTTTTTTTCTTTATAAACAGAATAAATAATGAGTTCAACATATTTAAATGTGTTTCTTCTTACAATATTCATATTATTGTTTGCAATTTCAGTGCATTCCTAGGTTCACAAAAGTTGTATTTTCATTTTTTTACTTTTTATGTGGTTCTAAAAATACACTGGTATAAGAAAAGTATCTGTGATATTGAGGGTAAAGTTACATAATTTGTCTTGCTGGTAAGGAAATTCACCTAGTCTTCAATATTAGTGTTGGTTTGGTGATGCTTATGAATTATTGTGTAAAATTATAATGTAATTATTTATATGGTGCTTAGAAAATATTACTTTGAGTATGTTTTAATCCTAAATTATAAAGTGCTTATACTTAAGCTAAGTTAAAATATTTTATTTAGGGCAGTCTTAAATTTAAATTTTCCATCCACCTTGGAACTACCACACATATTCGTAGCTTAGGTATTTATGATATGGTTTAGAGATCTCATAGTATTTTCTTAAAGCCAGTTTTAATATGAACTTGATTAATCTTATGCCATGCAACAAGATTTAAATTATAGAGGAGTGGGGTGTGGGGGGAGGGAGGGATAATGAATGTGTGTGCACACTTTTGTGTATCTTTGTGTGTATGGCTGATGTTATAGGCAAATCATAAATAAGTCTCAAATAAAGAAGTAATTTATTAATAGTCTGTCGAGATTTTATGAAATATTAGTCTCTTAGCAAGCACTTTCATATAATTTTTTCCCCGTCTTTTGCCTATGCTCACAAACATACACACATATATTGATATTTATTTTCCCTATTTAGTTTTTCTTACTTGTTATCATAGTCTACTGTAATATACTGCACTATACATTACTATACAGTTTGTCTTGTTGCCTTTTTCCTGTGCTGTCAGAATTTTATTTTGGTGCTGGAATTTCCATCTTCTTCTTTTTAATCTCTGCTGTATTTCTGATGCTTAGAATATTATTCAGCAGAGAGTAGTCTCAGAGTGAATAAATGAGCAAGTAAGCAAGGATTATATTTGTTTTTCTTTCATTTTTGTGACTGTAACATCTTATGGAATGAGACAAAAAGGGAGTCTTCCTTGATTTTTAATTTTAAAGGAGCTGGGCACCATAGTGCAGGTCTGTAATCCTAGCTACTACTGATGCTGAAGGGAGGATCACAAGTTTCAGGCCAGCCTTATCATCTTAGCTATACCAGGTCTCAAAAAAGACTGAGGATATAGCATCCTTGGGTTCAATTCCTAGTACTGCTGCCTTCTGCCACCAGTGGTGCACAGCCCCACCCCCACCCCCTGCCACTAAAGGGCTGAATAGTTAAACCCTTCTAGATCAAGAATTAAGGGAAGCATAGGTTACCCTTGCTGGCTTTTCAAAAGCAGATAGATGTCAAGGTGACATGTTAATGAACTTTTCTCCAGGGGTTTGTAGAATTTAATGATCATACTGATTATCTTCTGAGGATCGAGGATACTGACATGACGTGTGGAAGACAGCAGGCAATTTGTGCATGTATGTTCCCACACAGAAGCGGAGGAGATTATAACTGGGGACCAGTAAATGTTGTGATGTTATATAGAAGTGAATTTTCAGGGGAGCTGTCAGGCAGACTTTGGGGATTTCAGATTGTGTGGGAATGGACAGCTTTATTGATGGGAATTTGGAAAGAATATGATAGAAAATTCATGAATTTTAGTTGAATTTAATATAAAATACTTTTATAATTTAAAAATAACTTTTGTGTAAATTATTTATTTACAAAACAAGGTTGTGTTAAGCCTATCAAATATTTGTGTTTTATTGAGGAAGAAATAGAGGTGTAGAAGTTAAATGACTTATCCATGTGCCTAGCAAGTGAGATTAGAACTTGAAGCTTCAGATTATAACATTTTCTCACTTCTTAGGCTATTTAACATTTTGTCTATTAACCTTAGGATCCACATTACTAAACATTGAACCCCCTAGTCTTAAAAAGTTTTTACCTTTGAGGAGTTTCTTTCTAACTTTACAATAAGCACTGTCAGAATAGCCACACTCTAATGATATCACAACATTGCTTTGTCCTTGAAGTATTAGCAACTCCCTTTGTACTTGTCCCTCTTTCCCCCTTGATTGCCTTCTGCACTTGACTGACTGGTTATAGTTAAGGAGCAGCAGGCTCCAGTGGGACTGTGCCAACCCAATTCATGTTTATTCTTCTGGAGGTTCATTTAATGACACTAACATTTCTTACTTTTGTATAGATATTAGAAGTCAAATAGTGAAGTAAATGCCTTTCTCCTTCATAGGTGGAACACTTGTTGACTATAATTGATTTATATAAAATATTTCAAATAAGTTCTGAACATTTTTCTTCCCTTTTACATACAGTCTTTTGGTTCTTCTTCATGTGCTGTATTTTATGATTTATACCATGTTCTTTTTGCCAAAAAGTATTTGTTAATTATGGCATTAATGTATAAATAAAATTTAGAGTGTCTACTGTTTAGGAATATAAAATTATTAGGAAGCACTATCATCTTAGAATCAAAAGAACTTAGAAGCAATTATTTCAGTTGCTTAGGCAGTGTTAGAGACTCCCTATCTTTCTTTGCTCCAAATCACGTTTTTTAATGTCTTGGTGGTGATTATACTTTTATATATCCTGTTTTTTTTCTGCCTTTGATTCTTACAACTATCCTTTCCCTTTTTATATCTGTTTAATGCCAGCTCAATCTTAACATATACCTCTTCAAGGAAGAGTTCCCTCAAAATCCTGTTATCTTTTCCCCTCCTGTCCAATTTGATTAAGTATCTCTGCTAACGTTCTTTCATAGTTCACTGTACTTTTCTTTCATAGCTCTTATGACAGGATATATTATACAGTCTGTACCATTTGATAGTGAGTTCCAGAGTGAGTTTTGGTTGCTTATCATTTTATCTGCAGGGCCTCTTAACATTGCCCAACATATAAGAAATGCTTGAGAGATCATTTGCTGAATGAATGAATAACTGAATGAACATTTATGACAGAGGATCAAGGGATAAATTATTAGATAGATAAATAATAATTTCTTTTTTTTTTTGATACCAAGGACTGAACTCAGGGGCGCTTAAACACTGAGCCACATACCCAGCGTTTTTAAATATTTTATTTAGAGGCAGGCAGCATTGCTTAGGGCTTTGCTGAAGTTGGGTTTGAACTCATGATTCTTCTGTCTCATCTTCCCCAGCTACTGGGATTACAGGCATGCACCACTCTGCCCTGTATAAATTCTTGATACGTGTTAGCTTCCCCCACCCCCATAGGTCTTCCTCCTTGTTCTTCTGCATGTAACCACCATTGGAGAAATTATCCACTAGTATCTTTCTCTGTTAATAATTC